TTTAAAAGTTAAGTATAGGCAAATTAGAATTACAAAAACAAGCAAAAAATAACCTCCCTCATGACGTCCTTGGTTGCTTGAAAGGCCGTGAACTAGAGGAGGGGTAGGGAGCTCATCGAGCGCGCTCAGCTGCCGCACTCCGTGTCGACGGCACAAGAGGGCACCACTAAAGCATGTTCTGGATAGGCTGTATGCAAGCCTTCCTTGTATTGCCATTATCAAACGACAGATTGACTAAAATGGAATTTATACGGAAAAGTTAAACTGAGAAAAATGCGTTCAAAGTGCCCCAATCCCTACCTTTTCTTTATTAGCCTTGGTGGACAGAAAATAATTTATAAAAAATTAATTATACAGTGTAAACTAATTAAACTTTCTGGGGATACTCTCTTGATGTTGGTGGATGTAAATATGTCATTTTTCAAAATCTACTTTTTTTGCAGAAATTCTTTTTTTCTGGAAAGTGTCTCCACTTAAAACAATCACATTCTTCTATAGACGTCTTATACGCATACCTTGTGCCACTCCGTAGCGATTATTTAGCAGTGTAATATTTTGCTCGTGTAATAAAATGTTTTCTAGACCCGTTGCTATGTGCAGCTTTCATTTTAGCTATTAAGACATGCTATGTGACTAAAAGCGTGTTACAACGGTCAATCCACGCGCGTTGCCTTCGCTTCGATGCGCGCCCCCGATGGCCTTCCCTTGCAACGTCACGAGAAGAGCACTCCAGCCTTCTCTTCTACGAGGTGTTGTGTTGCTGCGCAACTTAGCCCCAAAATAAACTAGGCAAAAAAAAAAAGTTGTCAAGTTGAGTGTTAACAACAACGGTTGAGCAATTGCACTTTGAACGTCTTTGTTTACCTTTTTCTTTGGCCGGTCTTGCTTTGCCCATTTTCTTGTTCTTCTTTTGTGGCCTTTCTTTTTTTGCTGCCTGAATTTAGTGCGGCTTCTTTTTTTTGCTTGCTTAATTTTATTCTACGGATAGAAAGATTTTTTTTATGCTGCTCGCTTTTTTCGGTTCTTACAATTCTCTAAAATTATTTTCGTGTTTTGTTGCTGGCGCTGTGTAAACGATTGCAAACACGGTTGCGTAAACGCGGCAGAGTTTGTGGTTTTCACCAACTAATTTCTAGTGTATTATAGCGGCTCTTAGAGGCTCTATTTGGTAAAGTCCCGTTTGTCGCGGCCTTTGGTATTAGCAGAGACGCACGGAAATTTCCACTGGAGCTTAAGTTAACATATTTTTGTATATCGAATTATGGATATACTGAACTCTTTCATGGATGCCCTTAGAATTCTCTCTATCCGGGTTCGACTGTAGACTCCACCTTTTGTTCTCATGAGACTTGAGCTTTTTCTGTTGCCTTCCAGTACAAATTCATAAGAGGAACCAACCGGCTACCAGGACAGTTCTGAAGAGCTTCCATTCGGATAAATTGCCATTATGCTGTTCTCTTTCGATGCTATGGGCTCGATTATTTTTAACGAAAGGGCATCTTTGGAAATGGTTCTGGAAGGTCACATGGAAGTGCTTTTTCATGGGGCTATTTTTGTATCTAGAGAAACGGGTCTTCACTTCTCGCCCCATGTTGGACCTGGGTGATCAGCTCCTATATTTAACGAGGGAGGAGTGTTGGGCCAGTTGGTGATTCAGGATGGTTAAAAAGCGCAACAGGACGACGGACAGAAAGGAAAACACAGCACCCTTTTTTTCTGTCTGTTGTCCTGTTGCGCTTTTTAACCATTCTGATATTTACTTGTACTGCTACAAAACTAGTCTTGCGACTCCCGAGCTGCTCAAAGCTGCTCCAAAGGGCCGCCTTTTCTCTTCCCAGACCGGCTACAAAAGGGCAAACCAACAAATGAGGTGCGCAAAGAGCAAATGAACTTGCAGGCCGTATAGTTTTTGGGTGGCCGCAATAAAGAAACTACCGCCCGAAAAAATTTAACAACTCGTAACCTTCCCATGCAGTAATTTATTTCACATGAACTTCCATGGCTGTAGAGAGCTGCCATACTTTTTTCAAATACAGGTATGTTTTATTTCATTGAAATTTGGGGTCTATCTAGAATCTTGGGCAAAAATGTTTGACTTCTAAGAATGTGCAAAATGAGCGAGCTCATAGAGCTGATAGCAAGTCCAACGCGTGCAAAGAGCTCATGGTGACCGATGTTAGCACTTGAGGTGAAGGGGGGACGCGAGCATGGGCATTGGACACGGAAAGAGTCGCATCCGCACGGAGGGGAGCAAACATTTGGTTTTTTTCAAGCTAGTTTATTTACAAGAACAACCTGCAGTGCTCAAGCATTATCAAGTGCAGCCGACTATTAATAGAGAGAATGTGTTAGTGGAACAGGCAACAAATCAGTAAATTAGTTAAATATCAAAATCACTTCCTGAAGGAGGCAATTCCATGTTAATGCATATAATGGCATACTCGAGCATACATGTATGGCATACCCAGTCAGTGATTATGCGAGGAAACAATGAATATTTGTTGTAGCTAATGTGACAGATTCTTTCTTTGGTTTTCATTGAATAATCCATGCAACTGGAAGCATAGTTTAGTAATTTTAAATAGCGATTTTTGTTTAATGGCTCAAAGTTATTAGAGATGGCATGCAAAAACTTCAAGCGCAGGTTTCTTATCTAGTTGGCTTTTAATATCTGTTCCACTGACATCTTGCTATAGTAATTTCCCTACCCAAAGCTGGTGGCACGGCTAAAGTGTCTCATCTATTAGATACTGTTGGTGCCCACAAAACATATGCATATTCAAATCTTACTATGGAGCAATAGGCTTCTTTTTGTTTTTTTTTCTGCACCAATATGCACAATACGAATAAGAAAATTTAATGTACAGCTATTTTTTCTACTGGTCTGGCTGACATGAATATTAAAAGAAAAAGTGTTGACAAATTAATCCTCAGTTACTTCACATCTTCTGACTGTCAATAAACTAACGGATAACGTGACACTGCATCCCAAAAGTAATGTGGACATACTTATCAGTGCTACGTTCCCAAGCCTTGCACCACGGAGAAATTCTATGAAGGTCTGATTGTGAGAGGGCAGCATCACTAACACTGTGTACTTTGCTATACAGTCAAGCCCGTTTATAACGAACAGCAGGAAACGCTACGATCAGTTCGATATAGCACGTAGTTCGACATAGCAAAAAACAATTATAACGAACCTCCACTATGCTTTTGTTGTAAGGCGAGAGCGTCTCTTTCTTTCAAATCGCTTCACTTCCGCCTTGTAACAACACGCTGTAAAGTTGTGGCTGTTGTTTTTGCATGCGTGCAGAGTTTGTTTTTTTACCTCCCCTTCTGAATCGCTTCTCTTCGTGGGCAGACGCTTTGGGATGAATGTGGTTTTTATTTTTTGTGCGTGCGTGCAGTTTGTTTTTTTAGCTTTCTCCCCTTCTGAATTGCCTCTCTTCACTCAATTTTGTTCGCAACTTGAGCTTTTAAAATTTTCCTTCTTTCCTACTTCTTTCTTGGGGGAAGGGGCAGGGTAGAAGACGATTGTTTGCACGTTTTTGGAAGCCTTCCCGGGTGGAAAAAGTTCGATGTAGCCAATATGTTGTTCGTTATAAAAAGTACTTTTTACATGCATTTTAATTTAAAATTTTCATGAGTTCGATATCGAGAATAATTCGCTGTACGTGAGTTCGTTCTAAACGGGTTTCACTGTATAAAACACAATCATCTGCAAACAGCCTCACAGACGAGGTAATGCATATTATTACATCATTATTAAACACAAGCAATAAAAGAGGCCCCAACACTGACCCCTGTGGCATGCCAGAGGTCATATCAATAAAACCAGATTTTTAACCATTCATAAGAAGCATTGCTTTCTTTCAAATAAGTAAGTTTCAGTTCAACGGTAAATGTTTTGGTCAAGGTTAGTGGAACTTAATTTATACAGCAACAAACGGTGAGACACTTTGTCAAAAGCTTTACGGAAGTAAAAAAGAAAATCGAGATATATATATAAATGCTTTTTCTTTTTTATAAATGCTTTTTCTTTTTTTTTGTCCAAAAAGTTATGCATGGGAACAACAATTTATACCTATTTTATGCTTTGTGAACATGAAAAGTTTCTTCTGAGCCAAAGTGAAAAACTTTGGGTACCTTCGTGTGCACTTTGCTTAGGGTGGGGTCAACTGTTCCCCTCTCCTGTGTTCTCTCCTACCTCCATCTTGTTTTCCTGGTATTCTTGCTCAAACGTTGAGTTCATACCAGCCTCTGGCAACACTGTGTGACTGCTTCCATTTTTCTGAGCCGACGTTAGGCCAATCAGTGGATGCGGTCGTCATGTTACTTCTCGGTTTGTTTTGAAGCTGCAAGCTGAAAGCATAGGCAAAACAGAAATACTATTGACTGCTCTGAATATCCATTTCTGACATTTGAGTTGTCGATGGTGATTGGGCCCTCTGCTTGCAAGCTATAGACGCGAGAGCACTTAAAAATTTGTGTTGTTATCTAGAACAGGGGTCTGGAAACCCCGGGGCCAAGTTTGGCCTGTGCCTGGCCACAGTCCTTCCAGTGGCGCCCACGCTTCCTGCAAACTTGCTGCTACCAGCACGAAAATGAGTGTCTGTAAAACAAACGCCGCCCTCACCAAACGTTCTCACCAGAAAAATTGACAACTATTCATTTAAAACTTTTTACTATTGCATATTAATCTTCTGGCCCTGGAGACTGTGACCAGCCCCTTAGCCAAAAAGTTTCAAGACCCCCAATCTAGAAGAGTAAGCATGTAAGCTAACATTGCTGCTTGTGTCGTTGCGATGGTGGGCCTAGCCCCAGCGGTGACCTTGAAACTGCCAGCGGAAGTAGCCACGGGAACGAGGTTAATGGTTTGTCAGCAGTTGGTATCTCAAAGTGACACGACACTAAGCGAAGCCCGCACAAAGGCACCGAGGAGAAAGCTTTGTGATCCCTCAAATGCAACCTCTTTTAATTAGGATGTGAACACTTTGCAGGAGATGTTTGAGCACTCGATCACCTCAGGAAGTGGGTCTGGCCTCCCTCTCCTCATCCAGCGGACATTGGCCAAGCAGATCCAGCTGGTCAACTGCATAGGTAGGAAACAATGATTGGCAAACGCCTCGTGTGTTTCATTGGTGCGGCAAAACTGCTCTGACCTATTTGGATGATGAGTGGCAAATTTCTAATATCCCCCAAGTGCCCCGGCCCGCGCTAAAAAAATCATGGGAACGGTGTTCCTTCAGCCCCTTAATGATTGGTAATTTCAACCCTATTCTTGGTTACACAGGTTTTGAGCGTAATTGGGAGTCACTCTGAACAAGCGCCTGATATACCCCAATGACCTGTCATATCGCTTTTAAAATTTCTCCTGAATGTCAGCGTTTTTGATACTGTGCATGCTGTCCACCCTTCAACCTGCATGGGCTGCAGAAATCTCTTACATTATTATCATGCTGATATTAAGTTAGAAATGCTAAAAATGCTATAAACAGCCCTGTGGACTCCGAGCTAAATGCTGGTTTTTGTTGTTGTGAATTATCGGCTTTTTAAGCGATTTCTGTTTTAACAGCAATCACAAGAATGATAATATTGTAAGAGATTTCTGCAGCTCAGGCCAGGTTGAAAGGTGGACCGCATGCGCAGTATCGAAAATGCCGACGTTGACGAGCAATTTTAAAAGTGATATGATAGGTCCTTGGGGTATATCAAGTGCTTGTTCAGGGTGACTTTGAATTACGCTCAAAAACTGTGTAATCATGGAGTTGGTCGAAAATAAGCGATCACTAGGGAGCTGAAGGAACACCGTTCCCATGATTCCTTGAGTGCGGGCCGGGGCGCTTGGGAATACTGCAATTGGTCTATTGAGCCAGACCTGCTATGATTCGAGGAACTCTCCAATTATTTTTATTTATATATTTATTTACTTACCCTCCAAAAGACATTACAGAGGGGAGTGGTAAACACATGAGCAAACAAAGCGGCAAAAATAAACACTTATGGTACATCAGAAAATGACGAGAAGACGGGGCATTTTTTAAAGCAATTGACTCAGGTAAGGTTGCCACAGGGCGAGGAAGCTGGTTTCCTTTCCACAGAAGTGCAGGCTATGAATGAATAGAAAAGTGTGTGTTGCAAGGGAAGGTGTCGTTGAGGATACAGTCGACGGGAAATCCATGGCGGGGCTGTTAGTAGGATTTCACGCTGGACAGAATGATAGTGAATTCTATGAAAAAGAGACAATTGAGAAAGCTGTCTACATAAAGCAAGATTAGGCAAAGATAGCTTCATTAAGGTTGCATTAGAAGTGATGATAGAAAGAATAAAACATGCAGATTGGTTTTGAATCGAATGACTGAAGGAGGTGTTCCGTGCCGGAGTCCCCGACGAAGGCTGCATACTCAGGCTTCGTTTGAACCAGTGATTTCTAGAGAAGGAGCTTAAGGGGATGAGGGAATGTGTCCTTAGAAAGCCGACCATCTGGTTAGCATTGTTAATTACATGCACTATATGAATGCTCCATGACAGGTCAGACGTTCTGTGAAGACCAAGGTATTTATACGTTTGCACGGATTCCAATTGCTATGGTGTTAAGGTAGTAAATAGGCGAAACCGTGTTACGACGGGATATGCGCATTGATTTGCACTTGGTGATGTTTAGTTTCATTAGCCACGTGCACCACATGCACCACGTGCAGCACCAGTTAGCTATTGAGATTAGGTTAGAATGCAAAAGGGTGTGTTCAGATGAGGACGGTCATGGTGGTTTTTTTGTTTTCACTAATATTTTTGTATGAGGTAGCGAAACCTGTCCACATGGCGGGACAGACCTTACTTTTGCAAGATACTTCCTTGTTTTCGTAAAAAAAATTGCAATCCGGAGAAGGTTGAAAAAACTATTTTCCCAACTGCACGATGACGCAACTTTGAAGGCCTGAGGAATAAAGGATAAAGCTTTCTACACCGTCAAAGTTTTTACGTTTAATCCGCAGATACTTTTCTGCCAGGATTAGTTAAAGTTAGCTGACATGAGGATATATTTGAAGCGAAATAAAATGCCCAACTAGGCTTCTGAAGCAAATCTTACATAATGAGGCATTTTCTGGCGAATTTTTGAGTCGCTTTAAAGTTTTATTCTAAAGCTGAAAATTTTTGTGTCAAGTTTTTCATGCTTTGTGAACTTCTAACAAATTAATTAGCGTTGTACTGTTGAAAGTGTTTTCTCCATTGCGCCCGGAAATTTCGTCAACACCAAAAAAGTTAAAATTTGGCCATTTTTGTGCGGCAATTAAAAAAAATAATCATTCTTGATTTTATTTAAATTTTGCCCAATGGGCCCTTGATGACTGGTGATTACTAATCTGCAAGGACATGTTGCATTACTTTGTTTTAAAACAAAAAAATAAATGTGTAACCAGGTCGTGATCGCATCAATTACCGTTAGGGCGCTTCTGCCTTAACGATTAGTGCTACACGAGCGACGCATGCCGCAGTATCTGTATTTGGTCATATTAATGGCCAGGCACCATGAAGCACTCTAAAAATAACACGTGAACTTGTTTTCATCGCAGATGTGGCTGATATTGCCAATGAACACTGAAATTTATGGCACGTTCGATACTTATTAGGGTGTATGCTTGGCTGTTTATAGATGCTCATCGTGCTACCTTTTCAAAGGAGTACAGTATAGACCACTTACAACGTAACCGCTTATAGTGCAGGACCGGGTATAACGCGGCTTTTTTAACCCACTAAGTCCCCCAAAACTCCATGTATTTACATACCGCTTAAAATGCAGGCGTGCGAAGGGAAATACCGGTTATAGTGTGGTTCTTGGAACAGCGCGCCGACTGATTGGCACAGCGAGCACGCTTCCCTGTGCGACACTAGATAACGGCGCGAGCCGCAATGGCCGCAAGCAGCACTCGCGGGGCAAGGAAGTTGCTCGAAGGCTCGAAGAAGCGGGGGGAAGCGAAGAGAGAGGCTTCAGTTGCCATAGCGACGGAGGGACGCACGCGCGTGTCGTTCACGTGCATGCGTCCCTCCGCTGCGTTGGAAACAAACAACTGCAACGACAGACCAATCGCAGGTCGAGGAGAAGTGTTTGCGCGCGTTGCATGCCGGTCGCGGGCCGGCTGCATCTATCCACGAACATGGCGTCGGTTGTGATTTTCGACGTAGGCGGCGGGGTGGAAGCTCATCGTTCCGCGTAAAAGCGCTATCCTTGACTGTGAATTTTCGTTGTGTGTCGCTATGATAACCCAGCACGTACTAGAAGGGAAGATCCACCTACTCGTGCGGCGATGTTGTGGCGGCACTCTCAAGACGGCAGAAACGCCCGTGTCGTCGTGTTTGTTTACTTCGACTACAGTGGTGCTTTCTAAGCATTTGTGTTTTCGAACATCGCCCGGATTTCTTATTTTGACCATTTCATGCCTGTGCTCAAGTTGAAGGTATTACTGGCGCGTACCGTATAAAGGATGCGAATTTTCACACGTTTTCATCGCCGGAGAAAAGTGATTAGGGTTAGCAATCCTGAACGCTCGCAACGTCTGTCCGCAACCCGCAACACCGTTAAAAGGCTGCGTCAGGCAAGAGTCACTCATTTCTTTCAAAATGTGTGACACACTTGAGAGAGAAGTGTACTAGTCTGGTGAAATAAAGACTTTCCTCAAACTAAGCTTTATTTTTCATCTAACATAAAATATATTCTTTTACAAAGGTAAGTTGTCTGATTGCATGTACCGCTTATAGTGCGGATTTTCGCGACTCCCGCGACATACGTTATATGCGGTCTACACTGTACGTTAATATTAGTACCTGGCTGACAAAATAATTTATTCCTATTTCTTGGCACCACCCGAAAGCTTGCTGACAAAAAAGTTTGACTCATTTCTCTCTAGGCATCGCTTGGAACGAGCGACATTGCAGAGGCTTCTGTCCCGACCGATGGCGGGCGCGGCTACGGCGGAAAGACAACAGATTATGTCTCGAAAAACAATGGCGAATGAGTGGAAATCAAGGTTGAGTTAGAGAGGATTTAAGTAGCGTAAGCGGTTCAGCGTTGAAGTCAACAGCCAAGGTTGCGCTCGGGCACTACTAAGTTGCTCCAACGGAATCTCTTGCGGCGCCTCATCGAGGGGAGCAAGAGAGTTATCGACCTGGGGAAATATTTTGATGAAATTCCAAGAGGGTCATGGCGTGCAAAAACCTGCAGATGTTTATTGGCAATAAGAACGCTCCTGGTGAGAATCGGGCAGCGCTGCCACCGAATGCCGTAGGCCGCCACACACACACGGGATCGTGGCTCGCTTTGTACAGAGAAGAAAAAAAGATTTGCTGACCAGACGACTGGCCTACACCGCTTTGAGGTCTTGCCAATAAAGGGGATGTAACACAAGTTTTGAAACAACGGGAGTTTAATTAAAACAATTATTTAAGTAAAAACAAATAATATGAGGAGGTTCGCAACTACCGAAACGTGGAAAAAAATTGTCTAAGCACTTCACCCTGCCAGTGCGCGGGCGGCATAATGCAAAAATACCTAGCGAATACAGAGAAGAAAAACAATTGCTAGACAATTGAAAGCTGAACTCCTAAACTCCTGGATTCCTACCAACCAGATTGCAGTGCTGAGAAGCTAGCGGGTGGAGGGAGTGTCTAATCTGTCACTGTTCGGGAGTGTTGGCCTCTTCGGTTGCATTTTCCGAATGGGGTGGTACCGGTGGATTCCACGGTGGGCTAGTGGGGAGCTCGATGAGGCCAGCCGCACAGGCACATTTCTTGCAAAGCCTTCCCCAGCGCAAACATGGCCCTCCACCGTCGCTTTTCCCGGGCTCTGTCCGCATTTTCGCAGATCGAATCTCACGGCTTCAAGTCCAGAGCAGACTTCGTGTTCACGCAGGTCAAATTTCGTGCGAGACGAAAAAGCGTGGTTGGAACTGCGATATATCAAACCATGTGCAGGAAGGCCTTCGAACCATTTGTCACGCGGGGTCTTGTTTTTATTGAAGTGCATAGGAATATTGAAACTAATGTACACCTGAGTCGGTCTCCGGGTAATTTGACGAATGAAGTCTCTAATATATGCAATCAAT